AGTAAATATGTTTGAGACATACTTGCAACTGTCTGGAGAGGCATTATTTCTGATTTGCCTTCTCAATGAAATTTAGCCTATTGTGATTCTTGTTTCATGAGGGGAGAGGGTCTCCTATTAGACTTTGTACCATGGTTGGGCCGTACAGTTTGTCTCCTTTATCTTCCCCTTGCAAGACCGTGGAAACAGAAGCTGAAGTTCATTGGGGTTTAGCAAATTCCTTCAAGATAAATGCCAGGTTCAGCATTCTATTTACCTCTCTGGGTCTCTAGTATGTCTTACATTATTGCTAGGTCAATGATACATTATAAAAGATTTTTTAAAAATATTTTATTCTGGGCCAGCCTGGTGGCGCACGCTTGGGAGTGCAGTGGCGCTCCCGCTGAGGGTTCGGATCCCATGTGGTGACCAGTTCCCGCTCACTGGCTGAGCACGGCACGGGCGTGACACTGAGGGTTGCGATCCCGTTGCCGATCCCCAGTGCGGACGCAACACCGAGGGTTGCGATCCCATTACCGGCCAGTAAAAAAGACAAAAAGGAAAAAAAAATATATATATATATATTTTATTCTGACTTTTTAAATTTGAAGCAGAGGGTCAATCAACTCACTAATTTTATCAAATTTTCTGTTCTTCACCAAGTTTTTTCTTTCCCTTTAAATAATGATTCCCTGTGCCTAATCACTGATTGAATCAATGAGTCTCAGCACTTTTGGGAAAGGACAGATGAAGTCTGAAACCAAGAAGTCATTGCCCTAGTGATAACGCCCTTATATCGAGTGAAGCAACAGTCTAGAAAGCTGAGTTTTATTGAAAGAAAAAGGAATTCTTCAAAATACAGGAGGCTGTGGGTTGTGCAACCTGAGCTAGTGGCTGGATGAATTAATGTGTGTGAGACTCAGTGTTTGTAGTACTAGTGAGAGCCAACATGAAGCCAAGGGTGGAGGGGTGGTGTGGAAAGACTAGTAGGCCCAGCATGAGCCAAGAAAAAAGATTGAGTTGCACTAATTGTAAATTTTTCTCTTGAGGTTCAGGGAGGACAGAGACTAAAACCCAGAGAGCAGGCAGGATAACTTACACCTTAACTCGTGGTGAGCAGATGTCTGCAGGTTGTCCAATAGCCAGATAGGACAAAAGCCATTTCCTTCAAGGCATCTGAGGATCCAGACAGCCCAAGTAGCATGGTATATAAGTAAAAGTAATTCAATTAATTAATTGATTTAAATGAAAGTAATTATATTAGGGAACCTAAGTTAACTAGGTTCCTTTTAACATTTACCTTAAAGAAGTAGTATTTTTGCTGATGGTTTTGGATTTGACAACTAAATGATCTTAGAAATAAATATAGACTACTCCAAAGTTCTCTATACATTCAAACAGAACAGTAGCTTTTGAGTGGAGTGGGTAAGTGACTGTATGTACCCCAACAAAATTCTGGCCTTGATTTATAAACTGAAAGGAAAGGACAGGCATTAAATCAGCCAAAGTCAGACAAATTGACCATGTATTTCAAAATGACTCAGTCTAAGGGTTCTGCCACTTCTTGAAATGTTTGAGGAAGAGAAGATACTTACCAAGCAGGGAAATCAGATAGCTCCCATTCAAATTAAATACAATCTATTTCACTTCAAGCCAGATCCATTTTATTTGAAGGAATTATATTTTCTTCCAGTACCATTTTCACATAATGGACTTTTTAGCAAAAAAAAAGAATTTATTTCAGTGTATAAGTACATGCAGTTAATATTTTGGTTGGAAAGACTTTTCATGTAAATAAACTGTGATTAGGAAATGTGACATTTGCATTGCGGATTAAGAATACTTTGGACACTATAAGCAAATGTATTAATT